TATTTGTGCAATATTCAAAATTATTCAGTTTCAATTTTAACATGTTAATTAAATATGTTTCTTTGGCTTTCAATTTAAAACTTATTTGCCTGATAAAGATAATACTGCTTGGAAACTGCTCATTTATTTTATAAATAAATAGAATCAATGATCGATATATAGATGATTCGTTTCATATTGTTTCTTATTTTGATTTGGAACTATTGAATCACATTTCGAATTAATAATTTATGATTCAGTTGGAATCACATGAATATTCATTCGAGCATTGAGTGTGAGAGTTAATTTCGGATAATTTTTGATTTTTGTTGATAGTTATTGATAATTGTTAGACAAAGACTGTTTTCTTGTTGACAAGATTTCTACAAAAAGTTCTAAAGATTAGGAGTTGAACATGTTGCTAAGAATAATGATGATGTAATGGAGAAAAAAGTTGAACATTGGTCAAATAAAAATAAAAGAAAATCGTTATCTTTAAATAATAGATAATATCCACGTGACAAAGTAAGAATTTATAAGCAATAAAATTATATATTTCGAAAAAACATATTTTTTATAGAAGAAATCTTAATAAAAAAATTTTTTATAGAAGAAATATGATATAATATTATTTATACTTATAAAAAGATTTTTTATACCTGTAAAAAGCAGTGATTCATCATGAAAAAATTTTACTATTAAGATTTACTATTAATTGACAATTTTATGATTTTATTATTTGCTTCGGATACACCTAAGGAATCGTGCGAGTAGCATGATCTATTAACGATACCCGCAAATAATGCGGGTGAAATTTTTGCAAGTCCAATAAAGATTCATTATTTTGAATTAATGAAACAAACATATCTCTGAAACTAATTCAATTCTTAGAGAATCCGTCAAAAATTGGCAAATTTATTTAGGGCAAAATTGCCGGAGACTGTTGCTGGGAGAGGGGAATAACCAATTTTAATGAAGGGACATTCTTTTCTCTTTTTTATGCGTGTACATCTTCTATAAAATCTTCTACTGTGGATATTATATTGAAATAGATGTTTTCAAACTCGACAAGATGAGCTACGTGTGATAATTCTAATTCGGTTTCTTCAATAATTTCTTCTATGCTTTTTTGAATATATATTTACATATTTGTCGTATAAAGAACCACACACCTCATATCATTTTCTAATTTCGGTAAGCGTAACTGACTGTCTAGATTCTTCAAAAAATTTCTTAAACCTCGTCAATGAGATCTTGATCGAACGACGTTCATTGATTAATGACTTTAATTGAGTTTTAATCTCTGCTAACGTAAGGACAAGAATTTACTTACTGGAATTAGATAGTAGATTAGATCGACGATGCTGAAGTTGATTGCAGTTAGAATGCTGCTGCGAGATTGTCTAATATTGTATGTCGCTAGATCGGGAACTCGATACAATTTCTTATCGTTCTGATGACTACGTTGACCTTCTTTTCGGATCAGGAACATAGCAATTCTCTGTTGATGAAATGAATCCTTTCTTGATAACAAAGATTCTTGATTGCTATTCACCACTGTTCACTGACTATTGAATCAAGTTCACTTTAAATATTCATTCTTTAAGTCTCGACCAGCTGTATCCGGTTCGAAGAATCAAATGTTAAAGTCGAAAAAATGAACGACTTTGGATATTATACAAATGCAGTACCTAAACTGATGCTACTGTTTGAAAGACTATCATAGGACTTATATTATATTTCATTTCGATTATGAGCTCTGAATGAACGAATATTAACTTTTTACGGTTAATGTAACTGTATTTTGATGTACAGTGTATCATCATTGAATTCTATCTGTTTAGTTTTCCATTTCTATTCTAACTCAACTGCAAGATTGTCACGAGTTTTTTTTCTTTTCTTTTCCAATTCTTGTTTTTCGGGAAACCAATAGTTGTATTGGAAGGCGGTTTCGAAGGATGGGCTCTTACAGCGCGTGGGAGTCAGAATCTTTGCGTTCGCTTCCACGATGGTTCATTGCATGGCATATAAATGTAGCTTGTGAAGTGGCCATTATTGTGGCTTATATACTATGTATTTATCTTTGTTAAAAATTTGTAAAAATGTTAGGAAAATCATGCCCGCTCATAAATTATTATCAGGTACTTGAATTGTTGAAAATAAAAACCAGGTTATCTAACCGTTTTAAAAGCCCTGTCCTTAATAAGAAATATTCTCCTTTTTAATTTCATTTTAGATCTTTTAATATATAATTTAATTAATAAAACAACTATACCTTTTTGTGTATGTGTGTATATATATATATCTATTACATATTTTATGCATATATATATTATTCAATTTTGGAATAAAATTAAAAAATAAAATTCCAAAAATTAAATTCCTTTTTTATCATAAATATCAATAAAATATTGTTTAAAATAATTATTTAAAATATGTATTTATAAAATAACAAATTTGATAGTAATAAATTATATAGATATATTTACAGTTTCAATTGCAACAATTTAATTATAAATAGTAAAGAATCAAAATTTCAAAAAAAATAGATTAATCTAACGAATGTTAATAAATATTGGATTCAAAATACAGGCAAATTGAAGTTGATGAAAATCTGGAAACTGTAATGAACATATTAATATCAATCATACATTTATGTATATATGTATGTATTACATCAGTGGGATTTAAAGTAATATAGGAAAAATTTAAAAAAAATTAAACAAGTTTCATAAAATTTGTTTTATCTATTTTTTCTTATCTACTTTTATATCTTTAACAGATCATTGAGATATTTAATAGAAATGATTGTATTGTAATTAAAATTACTCAGAAATATTATTATTAAAAGCAACTTATCCAAAATATAATTATATTATTGATTTAATATTATTTAATACTATAATTTCATATTATTAATTATAATTTTTATAAAGGGATATTTATAAATTCCTCTCACATAATAGAAAGATTGGAATCAATTAGCTTATCTTTAATTCAACATGCATATATCATTTAAAGAATATATTTAGAAGTAGCAAAAGAATATGTATAAAATAGATAAAATTATAAAAAAAAATCTCAATTTTTATATTTTATGAATAATGAATATTTTAAATAATGAATATATGGAATGTATTATAAGATATTATTACTATACTTTATTAGAACATCTTGATATAAATTTATATATACATCTATTATATCTTATAATATGAAATGCACATTTTTTTAAATAAATCAATCATAATTTATAAATAATAGTTAACTGATTCAAATTTAAAAAAATTGTTAATTATAATATTATAATATTCTCTGTATTCTAATGTAGATTAAAATAATATGACAATATCTTTTTATATTTGTATATGTTTTATATACATATGCACATTTTATGAACATAAATAAAATTATTTTATTTTAAATTCACATTTTTATATTTAAAATCAAAATAAAAAGGCTTAGATGAAGATAAAAATTGAATAATATAATAACTAATTTTACAGTAATTAAAATTCTACAGAGAAAAAGAGTATTCAACGCTCAAACATATTGAAAGGAAATTTAAAGATTTGAATTTTTTAAATAATTTTAAAATAAGACAGAATGCAAATTGAACTTTTGCATGAATTGTAATATACAATACGTTCGTTTTAACGTTTTTAAATATCTACATATAATTATTTTTAATAAATATCAGAAATAAAAAAAAATGTTTCAAATAAAAATATGATAATGATGATAATTATTTGATCTTAATGTTAGACAATTAGATGTTAGTCTGTGAATGTTATATTTAAATTCTTTATTTTTTATTATATATTTTTATAGCTAATATTAAGTCATATTTAGAATACTATTTATATATTTTTTCATAAACCATTGTTAAATTATTAACTTTTAAAATTTACATGTTAGTGGCATTAACATTTATATTGCGAAAATATTGTTGAGTCGCATCATATTGTTTCTAAAAAAATTAATTTGAATGCGTGGACACACATGCGCGCATATGCGTGTACTTTAAAGTAATTTAAGTATGATTACTTTTTAATATATTCCTTATTATTAAGATTATTTCTATCTAAACATTTCAATGTATATTGAAGTTATCTTTTTATTTTCAACATTGAAATATTATTTTTACGTATATAAATTATTCCATATTGAAAACACAATTTTTTTTTTTTTTAAAGCTACATCATGGTATATAAAATGACTGAGCAACGTTTTCGCATATAAATTGAAATGATAATGTTAATATTGGCAGTATATAATAAACTTAGAAAATAGCTTAACAGTGCTTTATGAAAAAATATATTTAGATAATGTTTTGAATACGCAATATTACAAGAATATGAAATAATAAAATATAATGTACTATATAAAAATTTAATTGTAATTTTCAGAGAATTCTTCAATTATTTCAATATTATACAATTTTAATTTGAAACATTGTTTCGTATTTCTAATATTTCTTACAGAAATAATTATGTATAGATAAATATATATTAAAACAGATATTATATTTTTAATTCTAATAAAATCAAACATAAATTACAAAATGAAAGAGATGTGAAAGAGATCATAATATTTCATTCGAACTATAATCGAATTATAATAAAAATGATTACTTTCTCAACTGCAATCGCAGTGATTTTGCAATTAATTTCATTTTTTTCATCTACGAATTAAAGAATTTCTATGTATATCAATCACAATCAATTAAATTTTTTGATAAGATTAAATTATTTCATTTCTGATATTAATTATTGCAATAAATCAAACATCAGAGTTATTAAAAAAATTTAATATTATTATTAAATAATTTAACGGAAAAAAAGAATAATTTAATATTTAAAGTAATTATTAATATTAAAAAGTAATTATTAATATTAATAATGTAAGAGGGTTTATTTAAAAATATAAATCAACTATTTTAACAATACAAAAAAAAATATATTTTAAATATAAAAAACATTACAAAATTATAAAATTTTCATTGAAATATAATAATTTATAAAATTAATAGTTCATTAATCTTCATCTATATCAGTGATAGGCAAACCAGCACATTCACTGTGTCTTATTCCAAAAGAATACATAGGTTGTCGTCTTCCAGTATTATATAAAGGATAATATCGTGGACCTGGACTTAATTCTAGTTCTGCTAAATGAGTCCTCCATTTTAAGCTAAATGCTGGAGCACTACGTTTTACAAGATCAGTTCGAATATTTCTATAAGCTGCTGGACCAGGACCAACATCTTCTTCTTTAATTCTATGAATTCCAGCTCTAGTGAAATGCATAAAACATATTTTGATTATTATTTTTATTACTATTTACTCTTATTATATTATAACAGTCAATATGTTTATTAATATATCAACCATTATATACATTATAAAATTATAATATATATAAGAGTTATATATAT